GCAGGATTTCAGAAGTAAAGCTGGATCTTTGTTCAGCAACAATAGTGTGCTAGATGCCCAGCTCTGGCCAAAACGTCTAATATTTTGCTAAAAAAAAAAAAAAAAAATAGTAATATTACGGGTAGTCCTTGACTTACAACCAATCATTTAGTGACTATTCGAAATTACAATGGCATTGGAAAAAATAATTTATGATTATTTTTCACACTACAACAATTGTAGGATCCCCATGGTCACATGAACAAAATTCAGACATTTGGTAATTGGTATATATGATGGTTGCAGTATCCCAAGGTCATGTGATCACCTTTTGCAACCTTCTGACAAGCAAAGTTACTAATTTAACAACTGCAGTGATTCATTTAACAACTGTGGCAAGAAGGGTTGTAAAATGGAGCAAAACTCACTTAACAACTCTCTTGCTTAGTAATGGAAATTTTGGGTGCAACTGGAGCCAAAGAACTACCTATACTCCACAGTCAAATAACAGAGAGTGCAAGGTCAGCAGGCCCTTGGAGCATTTCTCAGGAGCTATTGGAGACTAACATCCTCTGTATGTTAGTTGAGTAGTAACTACCCCAAAATCATTTCAGCTATTCTATGAATTGAAGTATATATTACTGGCAATGTGGAAAGCCAATCAAGATACTTTCAACAAAGGTTTATATTGTATTTGTGCTTTATGCTGTATTTCTCTGTCATGCAGAATAGTTCAAGAAGAAAATAGCACTCTTCCTGAAACAGTGTTTGGTGGAACTGATGCCCTTAATGTGTAATATAGTAATGTATAATACAGTCACATTCTTGAAGAAGAAAGAAATAACTTTAAGCCCTATTGCCAAAATTTGAGGTATATTATATACTATGAAGATACCTGAAATATATTATAGATTTACCTGGAGTTTATGCCTTCAAAGGGAGACTAAGACAATTGAAGATTTTGTAACTGATACATGAATATATTTTGACTTTAGTTTGAAACATAGATCCTAGCAAAGGTATTATCAGCAGGCAAAAACATTTGAAAACAGGGCAAAGTGTATGTAAACAATGCAGCCAAAGAGGAATGAAGCATACCTATAAGAGTCACAGATGATAAGTATAGCTACAAGGTTACTATGCACAAAACAACAAAACAATTCAAGAAGTATACATAGAAGTGTCAAAGGACTATGAATATGATTTTTTTCATAAGCTAAATTAATGTGGATAAGATTAGATGACAGAAAGAAGTCTGGGTTTAAACAATATCCCTATTTTTTTATAAGAGTGATGCTGGTGTACAAGCTAATCTAATTGCTAAGAGTGACTACAACAAATTGAAGCCTATGTCATATAATGCATGTATCTGAAATCACATAATGAGACCCAATAGCTACATTGGGTGGCTATGAATATAAATGCATTAATACTACTAAATTCACAAGAAACAACCTGGGGCTACAATCTGACAAGTTACAAATTATAAACTGTCTATCCTGTTTCTCAATCAGTGTAGAACAGTGGTTCTCAACCTTTCTAATGCCGTGACCCCATAATACAATTCCCCATGTTGTGGTGACCCCCAAGTGGGTGTGGCCACCAATAAGAGGGAGTAGGACAGCTAGGGAAAAGGGAAAAAATGGCGGACAGTGTGATTTGGCGACCCCCATGAAATGGTTGTTTAACCCCAAATGGGGTCCCGACCCACAGGTTGAAAACCACTGGTGTAGAAAGACATCTTCATATCTACTTATTTTGTAATAGTTCTAGTCTCCCAGTAAGTTGTTTCATTATTGTTAATTAAGATGCACAACCAGTAGCACGTGCTATGAAAAAATTATCAGTACTGCAGAATGAAAACAAAACTGGACTGAACAGAAACAAAAAAATATATTTGTCAAATTGAAGAACTCATTGGTTGGTCACAATGGAAGTCCAAGGTTTTGCCTGGAACCCAAAGTATTAAGTATGTGATTATAATAGATTTAAGCCTAATCCAGAACTATATCTAGTAACTACATACCTGAAGTCATATATTATAGTCACTTCAGACACATACATTTCACATAGACTCAAAGAGAGCATTGCTACATCCCAGTACGAGTAGAATGCTTAGCAGATTCCAAATGCAAAGATATTGTCCAGGGAGATGCAGTCAGGTTTTGACACAGATGCTGGATGAAGAAAACACATGCCTATGTACTTTTAATATGCTGTATCCTTGATGCACCTTTAAATACTTCTGTTCCTGAAGTGTTTTATTGCATCATGGAACAGTCGATAGAAGGCATCCATAAACCATGGATGGCATTCTTTTGAGAGCCACCAAAGAATAAAAACCTGATCCCCATTCCAGTTCTTCTAGTTTGTTTGTGTTGCTGCATTTTACATAGTTTTATATTACTTTTAAATGTTGTTAAGTCACACAGAATCATTATTATGACAGGGGTGGCTATATAAATAAAATATAAACAAACAAATAATAAAACTAATATTAGAAAAAGCCTGTTAGCGGTAAAAAGAAACCAAACCATCAAAGAACACAGTGGCTGGACACCATTATAGCTGACACTAGCCAGAGCATAGAAAAACTCAAAGAAATAATACAAGATCAGAAGATGTGGAGAGACTTGGCCCACAGAATTGCCAAAAATCAGACTCAGCTAAATGGATAACAGCGTCATCATCTTCATCAGAAACAGCCAGCTCCTCAAATATAAAAATGAGAAAAAAGCAAACACATTATCTGTTTGTAATATCTAGGAAATTACTAATAAAGGATATAATTAAACCAGGAAAAACTAAAGTGCAGGCAATTATAGGTAAGCCAAAGCCAGGTTGCTAGAAAAAGGTCTATAGGATCATGGAAATAGTAAATCATGCCTTGAAATTTACTCCTATTCGGCTCAAATAACAAACCTGGGGACACTGTCATGCAAAGATTTGTCTGCCATTGGACTTTAGCATATAACAAAGGATAGCCAAATGCCACTTTATACATTATGTGCAGCAGATGTGTAATCAAGAAGCTAACTGAATAGTGTTGACTATTGCATGAGTAAGTCATTTTATTAGGAAGAAGGAGTCAACTAAAAGTGATGATAAATAATGACATGTTCCTTGCAATATATTAAACTTCTTTTGTCAGAGTCCAAGCTGGTGTTAATAAACATAGTAAATTCATCTCTCTTTTCATTGCCTCCTCATATATGAGAAACACAGGAAATGGAGAACATTCTAGCAAAGGTTTAGAACAAAAGTAGGGAACAGAATCCTGATAGGCACTAATATTCCTGCCAAAATCTCCTCTAATGTCATTAAGCACCTGACTTTTAATTGTTCTGTTTCTTTTAATTAAAAAATAAAACATATTTTGGCATAATGCAAACTAATGGATGAGTTTCCATTATCATTATTCTTTCCATCAGTGCTTACAGAGTTCACATAAATCTTATAAGAATTTTGAGAAAATAAAAACGTATAATTGGCTACATTCTGTGGAAATTTCTTCTAATATTTCTTCTATTTCATTTTTATATAGTTCTTGTATTTCCTCTTTCTGCAGTCATTCCGTTTTCACATTAGTTACTTAAACTTTTTTCTGTCAGATTCATTTTACCCTCAAAACCAGTAATAATAATCTGTCTGCATTCATAATTTCTTTTCTTTGTATCTTTCATTATTTCCCTCAGTTTTCTAGCCTGACCAAACATGTTTTAGAATAATTTGTATATGCACGACTTGAATACACTATTTCATACTCTCTTATATATATTTTAGCCCTTTCATTCATAATTAAATCTACACCTTCACTGCTATACTTATATTCATCAACCCTGTTCCCCAAAATCAAACTAACATCAGTTAAATTTGTTACATCATTCCTTTTTTCTGTTACCGTATATGCCAGCGTATAAGACGACTTCCGGAAGCACTAAACTCGGCACCAAAGATGGGGGTCGTCTTATACGCTGAGTCGTCTTATACGCCGGAAATACTGGTAGTTTCTGGCGTATAAGATGACGTTCTAGGAAGGCGACTCAGCGATAAAGACGGGGGTCGTCTTATACGCCGGGTTGCCTAATACGCCGGCATATACGGTACTTTATAATACAATGGAACTATTTTCTTTTCACACATTGTATATGTTAATTCTTGTTATTTACTGTGTATACCTCTTGCATTCCATATCACAATCTTACATATGTGATGGCTGTGCTAGACTGCCAGTTGGTACTATCCTCATTCCCCATCATGGCTATGGTCACTTGAGGCTTTGTGTGCAATTTTTAGATAGATATACAAGACGTAGATTAGATTATCAGCCTTAGTTACAATGAGATCATATATAGATTAGTAACTAGGAGGGTCATAACAGTCAGTTTCATTACATTTCGGCCAATAAACAACAAGTACAACCAAAGTTTTACCTCAGATATCTATGCAAATTATATTAAAAAGAGCTTTAAGCCCTGGAAGGTAAATGCAGGATTCTAATACATGCTCAGGATTCAAATCTTTTTGCACTGTGAATAAAAAAATAAGATACAGTTCTAGATATTATCCAATATCTAGTATCCATTAGCATACCCTAAACTAGGAGTGTCAAACTCGCAATGTCACGTGACGTGTCACAACGTATTGCAATTTTTTTCCATTGCCGGCAATGGGATGAGTGCGGTTTCACTATGATGCATTCGGCCCATGGGCCAGCAGTTTGACACCCCTGCCCTAAACTATTATCAATACCACAATAAACCAATATAAAACATACTTAATATATAAACCAATATCACTATTACAAAAATATTGAGCAAACTCAAATGATATTATATTAAACTATCAATTGGTATTATAGCAGTTCTTATATGTAAGACTTTTATAGCTAAAAAATATCTTATTCAGATAGTATCATGTGTGCTGCCGTGAAGAATTTTCACCACATCAGGACAGAATAAACAATTGTTAAAAGCACAAATTTGAAAGTAGCATAATGGTTTGAATTTTGCTTTTTGTAGATTATTGCATTTGATGAGCTAAAGACAGACTTCAAGAGTCCTATAGACCAGTGCAACCCAACACATGCGGTAAGTACTGCTCTTTGGTTTAATAATAACTAACATTTAATGAAAATTATATTTTGAAAATATAATGTTAAATGTGATCTTATGATCTTTAATAAGCATTGAAAAATACCATTCCTTGTACCTTCATGGACAGGCCGTTATAGTTTTCTTGGCAACCATATGCAAGCTGATTGCCATTGTTTTGATTTCCCTGTCCAACCTTCTATAAGTGATTTTTATTTTAATATGTAAATGTAGTGAGTCTGGTCTTGACATAACTACTTCTGATTCAGAAATTAAAGTTCCTGCAATAAAACCCATAAACTAAAGGCTGATTCATGCAATCTATAATTGGCTAAGGTATTTAATGCTGGTTGCATGCTGCAGCTGAATGCTCTGTAATTCTTTTCTGGGAGACATACTTTCTATAGAAGTGATTTAAATAAACATAATTTATAGGTGCACTTCTCAAGGAGGATTTGTGGCCCCACTGTCTTCATTAGACTCTGAGAAAAAGCTAAATAAATAAATAAATGTTGAGAAAGATTCCTTTGGAGGTCAGATAAAACCATGGTTTCTTGCAGGATGAACTAGATACAATTATTTAATACTAACTTCTTATTTACTGAATGTTGAATGTTGAGAAATGGCTAACAATATAAAAATATAGAAATAAATGTTTTAAAAAACATAAAAACAAGGCAAAATAATATTGGTTATGAGAGAGTAACACACTATAATAGTACTATAACAATATAACGTTAGATGTGCATGCCTGAAGAAGAAATGTATGTTAGCTGACCTTATAAATACAAAGAGATATAATAGTATCTGCACATAATTTCACGCAGAAGATATTCCATAACTAACTCTCCCAGCAGTCTGGAGTTTGATCCTGACGGGCTTGAGGTTGACTCAGCCTTCCTTTCCTGATTGGAAAGCATCCAAATAATCCACTTTCCCAATGCCTCTGAAGCTGTTGCACAGCCACTTTCTCCACCACCCTCCCCAAGAAAGGGAGCAGAGACATTGGACAAAAATTGTCCAGTATGATGGGATCCAATGATGGTTTCTTGAGGAGGGGTGAACCAAGGCCATCTTAAGAGATAAAGGAACAACCTCACTCAAAAAAGAATCAATCTTCCCTAGAACCCATTAACATGAGACCTCCCAGGCCACTTTGCCAAACAAGGTGAGGTATGGATCTAAAAAGCAGGTGGCAGAGCTTACAATACTGAAGAACCTGTCCACTTCCTCAGGTCTAACAGGTTCAAACTGTTGCATGATAAACCAGGCAAGACTTCTCCTGCATCTTCCCATCATATTTTTTATTCTGACATGTGAGCACATATTGTCTAGCATTCATGAAATGAAAAGAGAAGTGGAAATATGTGAGGTTAAGTCTTCCCATAGTTTTTGCATGCAGTTGGAAATCTGGCTTTCTCATTGTACTTAAATAATTTAATGACAAACTAGTGAGGTTTGTAAATTGCCTTCCACTGATCATTATCTCTCCCCTTTCTCCCAATTTTGTTTTCACTGACTGACAGCAGCACTCAAATATTTCAGATATAGATTTTTATTAAAGCTGTGTGAAGCACCACAATTTCATTGAGTAAAGCATCTGTGTTCTTTGGAAAGCTTGTGCAGCTCATTATCTATATATTTGTGTACATATGCTGACTACACTTTCTCTGGAATTACCAATGAAATGAAGCAGCTGCACATGCATACACACTTGTTGACAGCCAGGGAAAAGGAGCTGAACAAGCCTTCCAAATTACATGCCTGCTCTAACATTTTGAGGATGGGGGCCTTGCAATTTCTGATGTGCTTAGCAAAGCACTCTCTTTCAAATGCTTTGTGCAGTCTCAGTGTTTAGTCATCCAGTTGCTGGGTTTTTTTAAACGTAAGTTGCCACAGATCACACTTGGATCTAAAACAGTGAAGCGAGTGACTTGATTTGCAACTTTCCTCATAGGGCACAGGGCTATACCTCTCAATTGAATGAAATGTGGTAACCCCACCCCCAGATATGGGCCTGCAGTTTGCTATGTAGCATCTGCTCAAATTATGTAATGGGAAAACAATTCTGTAAAATCTCAGCCCCAAGGTGATCCAGTTTAAGATGTAATTGATAGTAGATCTTGTATGCTTAAATATGATAATTATAATTAACTATAACACCAACTCTAGAAAAGTAAGTTTTTTCTAGAAAAGTACCCACAATTCAAGATTTTGCTGATCTCTCATTTAGCCAACTGTACATCCTAAGGAAGTATTTTTTTCCTTTTAGAGAACATTTTTACCTTTAAACTCTGCAATAAAAGCTTAGCTACTTCAAGGCAGCATGAAAATACCAGCTGATCATGCAAGAATGATGGTTGTTACATATATACCATATTTTGAGAAAATAAGGTGACACTTTCACAGTATAAGGAGAAAGTATAAGATAAAGTGTGCCTGCACAAAACACACACTTTGCTTCTGTCTCATAATGTTCTTTAATAGCATTATTTGTTTCTGTCTTCCATAGTTTGTCCACTCTGTGGAAGCATGCTCATCTTATATATCATGAAACTATAGGCTCCTTATTTTATCTCATGCATGAATTTCCAGGAATCAGTTGCTATCTTTAAAGTTGCAGTAGAAAATTTGTAATCATCCAATCGCTGCTGAATAGTTTCTAATATGCTGAGAGTTGTGGTTCAGATCTGGGACTAACTTCAGTTGCCTTGGCAAAAGTGAAAACATTTGATATAATTGAATTTAAATATGTTTATTCAGGGGTTCTCAACCTTGGCAACTTTAAGACTTGTGGACTTCAACTCCCAGAATTCCTCAGCCAGCAAAGCTGGCTGAGGAATTCTGGGAGTTGAAGTCCACAAGTCTTAAAGTTGCCAAGGTTGAGAACCCCTGGTTTAGATGATCTCAGAAGATAACTAAGGCACTACCATGCAAATTATACCAGAGGCTAGTATACTATAGACTTTCTTCTAGACCAGGTAAAATATATGGTCATTCACACTAGTTGTTCAATTTTAGATCTCTTAAATTGTACCATTTTACTCCATCTTTCCCCACTTTCTTTTGACAGAGAGAGCGGTTGAGAAACATTGAACGGATTTGCTTTCTTCTGAGAAAGGTAAAAATTAATACAGATTGGTTTTGTTGAAGTGAAGCAAGCGATCATGTTCTTATGAGCAGCAATACATTTTCTTTTTTAATAGTAATTTTATTAAAATTACAATAACTATGATAAAAACTAATACACCAAAATATATAAAAATAGAAGGTGCAGAAAGAAAAAGAAAAGAAAAAATAGAAAAGAAAGAAAAAATAAAACTACAGTATAAAAAATAAAAGAAATATATAAATGACTTCCCTTCATCACAATATATAGTAGAAACAATTTTTAACTTATCTCCTCCTCTTAAAATACAACGGATGATCTCTTCTTCCCATATCACATCTCTCATCTATAAACTAATCCTTAAAAACCTCATCATTTCAGTCCTGATGCCACCCAAAAGTTCATTAAAATTATCAGAGATAACAACAGATCTATTTTAACCTTGGTCAAATAATCCATCTTTACTCCATCCTGTATTAGTCATTCTGCATTAGTAAGTAAAATTTAAATGTTCTTTTTTTAAAATTGTCATCTTTAGCTCCTTCTAGGTCAGGTCAGAAGTGTCATCCAGAAGCCACACCCACCCCATTGTTGGCAATGGCAAAACCGTCCCGATACGTTGCGCGACATCACGTGATGTCGCGAGTTTGACATGTCTGTTCTAGGTTGTTCAGTGTCCAACCTTCAAGGACCCCAATTTTTTTTTAAAGAATTCAAAATAAAAATATTTTCCCACAGGAAAGATTCTTATACTTAATTTTAAAATCTTATTTCAGATTTATCTGGAACCCTTAGTTTGTTTGTAACTTTTAAAATCAAATTTTTGTTCATTCTTGGTGTTTATTCCAGAATAATTTGTTAAGTCTTTAAATTTTTATTTAAATCTTCTTTCACTAATAAATAAAGGAGAGTTACCTCGAATTGTAAAGTTTGTCGATCCAAAGGTCCTAATAGCTGAAAAGCCGTTAACAAGCAATTTCTGAAAATGATTAGAAAATGAAATATGCAAACCCAGTGTCCTTCAAAGCTCCAACTATGGGTTGGATAGCTATTGCCATATTTTCTAGAGCTCTAAACACACCAGAGACCGCTGTCTTCTGACCTCCTTGTAAGGAGCAGCTTTGAAGAGTGCTTGTGGATGATTTCAGATCCATTCCTTGTGAGAAGAACTAGACTACTTGCTGGCTCTTCATTCTGCTGCAGGCTTCAGCTACGTTTTTAACAGAGTAACTTCAGTTTGCCAGTTCTTCCCTAGAAGTCAATAGCGATGCATTCTCAATGGTTACTCATTTTCTTGAGAAGGTTATAAATGGTAATCAAATAGAAAATTGACAGTTTTATGAATTTTGCAAAACAGGAATGACACTAACTACAAGGGACTTCCATTTAGTCTACAACATCCAAAAAAGAAATGAACTTTTGGGAACATCATCTTCAATCAAATCCTCTCATTTTAAAGACAATTTACAACAGTGGTTCTCAACCTGTGGGTCGGGACCCCATTTGGGGTCAAATGACCATTTCACGGGGGTCACCAAACCATGCTGTCCGCCATTTTTTTCCCTTTTCCCTAGCTGTCCTACTCCCTCTTATTGGTAGCCACACCCACTTGGGGGTCACCACAACATGGGGAACTGTATTATGGGGTCACAGCATTAGAAAGGTTGAGAATCACTGATTTACAACTTTTAGAAGCATAATTGGTGTCTGGCATCTAACTTTACATTTCTGTATTTAGATCTATGATTGTATAATGATCCTTGATAAATGACACATCTTTTCATGTAGAAAAATTGGGATATAATAAAAGGGACAATATATATATATAATAGAGTGTTATGCATGGTCTGAAGAAAATAGAAGATTTTTTTCTCCCTTTTTCCTGTGGTTTTTAGTAATATAATGAAGCTGAACTTGAAAGCTAAGTGGTTTTTTTTTTTTAATGAAATAAAGGGTTGCAAGGAGGCGTATTTCTTTTTTCCTTATTTATTTAACTGGCTAAGCAGTAAATGGCCTTCTTTTCTTCTCTAGTGTACTTTAATACCCATTTTTCTATATGGTTGCTTCATACAGCAATTTTATATAACTGCAGTGAAAAACAGTATAAGAATGCTCTTTCCCTTCGCACTTTTGAAAATGCCTTTGCATTCATTTTTACATATTGCTTGGACAGATTGGACAGTCTTGGCCAACATGCCAAATTTCTAATAACGAATTGAGAAAAAAATGTGTGGAAATTGGAGGAAATACCATATACATAACATATTTAAAATATACAAAAAATAAATTGGATTGTTTTTAAAAAATCACTGATTGGATTTTTTTTTTCTTATTCACATGTGTCTTGTCATAAACATGCTAGAAAGAAAACCCAGGATCTATGCAAATATAACTGAAAATAAGTGGAATGCCTTCCACTCTCATTCCACCTCTCTTTGAGCATTTTATATATCAGAAACATTTTTTACCTTTAGAAACTGCAAGAAAATATTATGCTGTATGCTTGCAAATATTTCCTTGTACCACAAAACATATCCTTTCTTTAGATTATATTTGTTCTACAGGATTCTTTAAAAGAAATGGTAAAAATTTGGGTATGTAAACACAGCCGTAAGAATTTTTATACTTTCATGATATATGTGGGCTCTATTCTCTTTCCATCATGCCTCCTCCTTTTGCTTGTGAAGGGAAGAAAGAAATGACAAATGACAAAACTCATATATAAGTTTTAAAAATCAAGACAACTACACAATGGTAGGAAAAAATGCAAAGGATTATTAGTGCTTTGCCCCAACTGAGATGTTTGCCTTGGGCACAGACCATTCTCCTTATGCCCCATTATGGGTTTAATTTCTTGCTACTTGTGGAAGAATTTACTGGATTTAGATAAATCTATTTTTGAGATACTCTGTTCTCTGCATGGGTGGATTGAAGGGGCTAAGATGCCCTGGTTGGCTTTACCTTCAATATGAATAATGGCAGACTCAGTATTAAATGAGTAGAGATTCTATCCATGTTTATGTCTTTGGTTTTTAGAATATGTCTCTTAGCTTTATTCTTCGTAATTAGACAGGTATATTCAAATATGCTCAACATTTTTATATCTGTTTAATCAATAGAGTAAGGTCTTGTTAGAGTTGCACAATATGTTTGATAATCTTTACAATTCTGTAGAAGTGTAGTCTTCTACATTATTTTATTATTGAAGAAATGTAGTCTCATAGTGGCTTGTACTCCAAGATTCAATTCCTAGCATTCTACATTGGGCTTCAAGCTGCTTCTTGTCCTTGTAGATGGTACCACCAATCACTTCAGTTTTGAGATGAAGTCAAAGCTCTTCTAAAAATAATGTAACTGTTATTTGCTCAGCCACCTTTTGGTTTTAAGCTGTGACCCAATTTTTATAAAGCTAGCAACAGTCCATGATCATTTTATTAATATTTGTGCAAGCATGGAGATGTCTTGCTGACATCAGCCTTTAATTTCTTTCGAGTCTAAATATCCTTATAGCAGAAATGGCAGCTCTTGGCTAAAACAGACTAAAACTGTAGAAACAACATACTCAAAGGAATAAAGGATAGCATATATTTCATAAACACATTGCTTAATGCAGCTTTCTTTGCTGATAAGCTGCTTTTTAGTGGAGATTTTTTGCTTTGAGAAGAAAGGAAAACAGGATAATTCAAGAAGTGATTGAATGGGATTCTTTTTGCCTCCTTAGCAATTGTGAGGCATTCATGGTTTGGCAGCAGAGCTTTGGGGAGCAATTAGAACACACTACTAATAAAACAAAATTTAGGACACGTGGAGCTTTTAACAACCCCTGAAGGTATCTGACCCCATTATAATACGGCTCCTCATGCCACCTCTAATAGCCAAATATTTGTGTGCCTTTCTTCTTTTTAAAATGTCTGTCTGTCTGTCTGTCTGTCTTGCACAATTGCAAGACTTTTAATATGGCTATTTTTCTTTTCCCTGACTCAAGACATTATAGATTTGGAAAGGATCTTGGAGATCTTCTAGTCCATTCCAGACAAATAGATGTCTAATTTTTGCTTGAATATCTCCAAGGAAACATTCATGATTCCGTGAGGAAGGCTGTTCTACTTTTTAACTGGTCTTGTGGTCAGGAAATTACTCCTTATTTCGAGTTTCTCTCAATGTAAAACTTTCAACAATAATTCTTATCATATTCTTGGGCATTATGGAAAATAAATCTATACTTTCAGTTATCACATCTTCCCTTAGTTTTCTCTTCTTTAGCTAAATATTCCAACTTTTTAAAATGTTCTTTATAGGATTTAGCCTCCAAGTCCCTCACTCTCTTTATTGCTCTATTTGCACTCTCAATGCTTATCAGGGCATTGATTGCTGGTGGAAAAGTGTTTTGGTCTTTTTATTCCCTTTTTGGCTTGTTGATTGTCTCTTTTGCACAGTATGTAGATGTTGTTTATGTCTATGTGTCTATTGATGGCCAAGAGGTCAGAGTGCCCTGCTTCCAGGAAGTCTTTAGCATTTTTGGACTTGGCTTGATCTTGGGTGATCACAGTTTCCCATTTGAAACTATGGTTAATTTTGTCCATATGTTCTGAAATTAAGGACTTTTTATCATGTCTTCTGAATACTAGTTGATGTTTATGAATGCATTCTGCTAGTCTTCTGCCAGTTTGACCAATACAGTGAATGTTGCAGTCTTTGCACTTTATGTTGTAGATGATTCCTGTTTTTGACTTCTGGGGCTGCTGAGTCTTTTGGTTTACTTAGGATGTTTTGGAGGGTTTCCATGTGGTTGTAATAATCTGTTGGTGGTTTCTGAAATGTTTTTGATGGCAGTGCTACTTTTACAACTTGTGTTGGTTGTACAATTCTGGATTGAGTGATCAGATCTTTTTTGACAAAGTTGTGTGGATATCCATTTTGTTGGAAAATGTTGTATAGATGCTCTATTTCCTTTTGTACAAGCTAACAACCAAGTTCAGAGAGAACCAAGGACCTCTCATTTCAACCTGAGC